GAGAGTGGGCAGCCTTGTCTAGTACCGCGACCAAGTGAGAAATATTTAGAATAATTGTTATTTGTTCGTACACAGGCCATTGGAGATGTGTATAAAAGTCTAATCCAAGTTATAATTTGATCAGGAAACCCAAATTTCTTCAGTGTGTAAAGCAGATACCTCCACTCGACTCTATCAAATGCCTTTTCAGCATCCATAGAAATAACTAATTCTGGAGATGCATTTGAAGAAGAAGAGAAGAGAATATTTAAAAGGCGTCTAATATTGTGAAAAGAGTGTCTATTTTTAATAAAACCTGTTTGGTCTGGTGAGATTATAGCTGGGAGAACAGTCTCTAAACGTCTTGCTAAAACTTTAGCTAATAATTTGACATCAGAACAAAGTAAAGAGATGGGACGATAGCTACTGCACTGGGAGGGATCTTTATCTTTTTTAAGAATAAGGGAAATAATAGCCTGTCGGAGAGAAGGAGGAAGGATACCTGAACTGTAAGACTCATTAAACATGTTAAGTAAAAGAGGAGACAATTTGTCAGAAAATGTCCTAAAGAATTCTGCAGGAAAGCCATCAGGCCCTGGGCACTTGCCACTCTGCATGAGATTTAGAGCAGTCTTAATTTCTTCCAATGCAAGTGGAGCTGCCAAATTAGAGGAGATATCAGAATCAATACAGGGTAAATTTAGAAATTTGAAAAAAGTGTCAAATTGAGCGTCTTCGACTATATTTTCCGAAGTATATAAAGAGGCATAAAAATCTTTAAACATGTCATTAATAGTTAGTGGGTTGGCTGAAAAACCAGTGGGGGTGGAGATTTGAGTAATATGATGTGAAGCTGCAGACTGACGTAACTGATGAGCAAGCAATTTACTTGATTTATCACCGAATTCATAATAATTGGAATGAGTTTTATGTAAAGCATCAATTGCCTCATCTGTGGTAAGCAAATCAAATTCTGTCTTTGTTGTGAGAAACCGAGCGAAAAGGTCAGGGTCTGTTGAGTTAGCACATTTAGCCTGGAGGTCTGACAACAAATTAAGAAGCTTGACCCTACTTTCGTTCATTATTTTTTTCTTGTATGCTGCATATGAGATAATTTCTCCCCTTAAGTAAGCCTTGCATGCCTCCCAAATAGTCTTAGGTGAAACTTCTGGAGAGAGATTTGTAGAGATAAATAGATCAATACGATTATTAATAACTGCTATAAACTCAGGATCTTTAAGTAGTAAGGAGTTAAAACGCCAGGGTGGCCTAGACATTGAAAAGCCAGGAAGAGCCAGATCAAATGTAACAGCGGCATGATCTGAAATTACTATAGCATTATAAACACATGAACTAATCAATGGAAGCAAATTATTATCAACCAAAAAGTAATCTATACGGGAAAAAGAGTGATGCACAGGAGAAAAAAATGAGAATTTTTTTGTATTCGGATTTAAAAAGCGCCAGACATCAGAAACAGCATATTGCTCCATAAAAAGCTGAATGATCCTACTAGATTTAGACTGTGCACAGAGTCTGGAAGATGAGCGGTCTAGAAGAGGGTCTAAACAACAGTTAAAATCCCCACCTAGAATTAGTTGGTTTGAGTGTAAATCAGGGAGGGAAAACAAAATTTTTTTGAAAAATGCCTCATCGTCCCAATTAGGTCCATATACGTTAGCCAAAACCAAGCGAGCTCCGTTTATTTGTCCTCTGAGAATAACAAAACGCCCATTAGGATCCGAAATAACCTCAGAGACTGAAAAGGGAATCGATTTGTGGATGAGAATAGCTACACCTCGGGACTTACTCTGAAAACTAGAATGGTAAAGCTGACCTACCCATCCCTTTCTTATCTTTAGATGATCGGCAGGCATAAGGTGTGTTTCTTGGATAAAGGCAATGCTAGTATTTAAATGTTTTAAGTAGTTAAGAACTTTATTTCGCTTCACCGGGGAGTTAAGCCCCTTAACATTCCAACTAGTGAATTTTAGTACACCACGCGTTGCTACCTTGTTACTCATGAGAGACATTAATAACAAATACTATAAGCGTGATCGAGTCTATGAGAACCCACCGCCAAGTATGCACAGCCAACATAGCAGGTGGCTAGAAGCATTATGAGGATACAAAATGCAGTAAAAGTGATTGCACACAAAAATACAAAAAGAAAAAAAAAGCACAACAAAAACAAAACAACAGTAACAAAGGGAAAAAAAAAAGAAAGGGAAAAAAAGATAAACCCACTCTTAAACCCACCCTTTCCCCAGCTGACAACAAGAACTGCAGCTGAACCCACTTTACCATAACAGGCAAGTTTCCTAACTCCTAGTCCTCCCAAACATAATAGTTACATCAGTAATATTAAATTTCGATTTTCATTCAATGCTTACTGGCAAACTTAGACTGCAAAACAAATTGGTGGAAGAGAAAAAAGAAAGGCGAAGCAATCGCACACAAAATACAAAAGGGCAGTAACACTATGCCTCACAAAATAAGCACAAATCTAAGTAGATTGGATTTTAACATAACATAAAATAGTCTGCAGTAAGTTTTTAACTAAGAAACATCAACATAGCTTTATCAAATTTAACAATGTCCAATATAAAAACCGCTGGGCCAACCTCCCAGGCTGTTCTTTAAGTAATAAAAAAGGTCAAAAAGTAAATTCTGCTTGCAGTATAAAAAAGCCTGACTGAGCTCATTGTGAATCTAAACCAAAATCCAAGTACTAGTCATCCCTTATTTAGATCGATATAAAAAAAAAACAAAGCAGCATAATATGCAATGTAAAAAAAAAGGGGAAAATAAACTGCAAGCCTACAATTCAGCCTACTATAAATAAAATGAGCTTTTAAGTTCAAGCACGGAAAAGTCTTTATACTGAGCAGGTTTATATCTCAAATCCACAGGTACATCCTATAGCATCCTTGGAGAGGGAGGCGGCCAGAAAGACATTAATGACTGTACATAGTAGAGTCTAATTCAACTCGTTTGCTACTAGCTCGAACTCTGGATGAAACTGTTGGCTTCCGAAACCGAAGCAAGCCATTTCTTCTCACCGTTTGGAAGTGTTATTCGAAGTCTAGCAGGGTAGAGAAGCGCAGGCTTGAGTCCTCGTTTGTAGAGTGATGACATCACGTCTTTATACTCGGCGCGAAGTTTCACAACATCAGGGCAATAATCCTCAAAGATACGAATCTTGTGGCCATCATACAGCAGCTCACCCTTTTTGCGAGATTCACGGACGACCAAATCCTTCGTTTGAAAGCGATGAAATCGCAGGATGACAGGTCGCGGTCTCTGGCCTGGTGCAGGTTTAGGCGCGAGGCTGCGGTGAGCTCTGTCCAGCTCGGGCGGCGAGGTTAACACCTGGGAGCCAAGGACATCGACCAGAAGCTGAGAGAAAAAAGCCGTCGGTCGCGGCCCCTCGACTGATTCGGGTAAGCTGACTATTCGAATGTTTTGGCGCCGGCTGCGACTTTCAAGATCGGAAACTTTAGCTTTTAGCCACTCGTTGTCCTTCTGGAGCCGCAAACACGTAGCGTTGAGTTGATCGAGTTGCTGACTAAACTCTGTAGCACCGGACTCGAGGTTTCCGATGCGAAGGTCATGATCAGCCACCGTGGATTGAATATTGTCAAGCTTGGTTGCCAAACTTTCAAAAGATGTTTTAAAATCCTCTGCGATCGAGGCTCTAAGGTCATCATGTAGCGCGCGAATCTCGGCCAGCGTGACGTTAGCATTCGGCGAAGGAGAACCTTCTTTATCGATCTGTCTGCCCCTTCCTTTTGACATTTCAAAGATAAAATATGTCGCAGAACAGAAAATAAACGAATACTGCCAGAAACGAACAAAATCACTGATGTTAATAGACAAAACTGAAAAGTTTTTTGGGAGCTGACCACGCGCACGTCTACTCCTCAGGCGCCATAACCGGAACTCACCCTAACCACTCTTGACGGTGAAACAGCCAGGGGGTATGTGGCGATTCCTCAGGTTGAGTGCGCGATGGCGGTAAATCCGCGCGGCGCCTCTTCTTGGCGGGGTCCGCCTCGTCTCCTATCCAAAGCCTGTAAGTTATCTACCTCCCTTGGAGCTAGAGCTTACATAGCTGCGGGCCAGGCTGCTTCCGCCTTGCATGCGATAGCCACCTACCAGCGCTACCAAGCGCAGGCGCTGGCCGAGCTGCACGAGGGTGGGTCCAACCCAGGCTTACGAGCTTCGCACCGCCGCCGACTTAGCTTTTCGGACTACTGAGTCCGCTGCGTGTGCGTTGGGGAGGACGATGTCCACATTAGTGGTCCAGGAGCGCCACCCCTGGCTGATATGCGCAAAGTCGACAAAGTCCGCTTTCTTGACTTCCCCATATCCCCAGCCAGGTTCGGCGACACTGTCTGTGAATTCACCCAGGAATTCAAGGCGGTGAGAGAGCAGTTGGTGGGTGATGTCTTATCGGCGGTCCGTAGCCCGCTCCGCCCGCCGTGCCATTCATACCTGCTCCTCGCCGAAGGCGCCCGCCTACGAGAGCTGCTCCGCCCCCGCATACGCCTCTGGCGAAGCGAGCGCGTCGGGCACCTCGGAAGCAGGCAGCCCCCCTGCCCAGAACACCGCTAAGTCCGGCAACGGACCGCGAAGCGCCCCTGGGACAGGCCATCTGGAGAAGAGGGAACTTGCTCTTTCCCCGCTGGAGGGCGGGGCCCCATTTCCAACGGCACTTTTTACTGCCATGAAAACATTATGAAAGGGCACTTTTCACTTCCCCAGATGTGACAGCCCGAAATCTGCCAGTCTGGGACGCTATGCTTTCTAGCTTGCAGATTCGGTGCGTTTCGCCAGTGGCTCACGAGCGCTGGGAGGACGGTCTCCTTTCTCCCACCCCTCGAGCCTCCCCTCCGGAGCTCGGGTTTGGAGTGAGAGCAAATATCTCACCTCCAGCTTTTCCGTGGGACCCGCGAGCTTCCCGGATCAGCACACCCACTCCGCGCTGCCCCACTGCTGGTACGTCAGCGATTGTAGCAATGAGTCCATTAGCAAGAGCTCTGCCTGCCTGGTTAGCGCGGGCCAGCTCTTCGCGGTGGCTCATACGCACAATCAGACTCGGCTATGCGATTCAGTTCGCGAAACGGCCCCCCAAGTCACGGGTGTGTATTCACCAGGGTCAGCCCTCTGTCCGCCCCTGTCTTGCGAGAGGAGATTGCTGTCCTCCTGGCGAAGGATGCAATCGAGCCGCTCCCTCCAGCCGAGATGGAGAGCGGGTTTTACAGCCCACGCTTCATCGTGCCCAAAAAGAGCGGTGGGTCACGGCCAATCCTAGATCTGCGCGTTTTGAACCGCTGCCTGCACAAGCTGCCGTTCAGAATGCTCACGCAGAAGCGCATCCTCCGGTGCGTTCGTCCTCTGGGTTGGTCTGCAGCATTAGACCTGATGGACGCGTATTTCCATGTCTCCACTCTTCCTCGCCACCGACAGTTCTGCGGTTTGCGTTTGAAGGTCGAGCTTGGCAATACAAAGCCCTCCCCTTCGGGCTCTCTCTGTCTCCGCGGGTCCTCACCAAGCCCGCGGAGGGTGCCTCAGCGCCCCTTCGGCTCGCGGGCATCTGCATACTCAATTTCTTTACGACTGGCTGAATTTGCCCTCTCTTGATTATGCACAGAGTTGATTATGCACAGAGACAAAGTGCTCTGGCACTTCCACCTGTGGGGGTTTCAGGTCAACCGAGAAAAGAGCAAACTCGCCCCCGTGCAGAGGATCTCTTCTCTCGGGCTGGAGCTGGACTCGGTCACCATGGCAGCGCGCCTCTCCGGAGAGCGCGCTCAGCTGATGCTGTACTGTCTGAGAGAGCTCGACAGTAAAATAGTGGTCCCACTGAAACTATTTCAGAGGCTCCTGGGGCATATGGCATCCGCAGCCGCTTCATGCCGCTCGGATTATTCTATATGAGACCACTTCAGCACTGGCTTCACGATCGAGTCCCCAGACGCGCATGGCACGCGCGCGCACACCGAGTCTCTGTTACTGCGCTGTGTCGCCGCGCCCTCAGCCCTTGGAGCGACCCCTCGTTCCTACAGACCTGGGTGTCTCTAGAACAGGCGTCCAGTCTTGTTGTCGTTTCAGCAGACGCTTCCAACACGGGCTGGGGGGCTGTGCGTTGCGGGCATGCGGCTGCGGACCTGTGGAAAGGTACCCAGTTGCATTGGCATATCGCCTGGAGCTGTTGGCAGTGTTCCTCGCTCTCCACCGTTTTTTTCCGGTGTTGGAGCGGCAACACGTGCTGGTCAGGACGGACAGTACGGCGGCGGTGGCGTATATCAGCCGTATAGGGGGTATGCGCTCTCGCCGCATGTCTCAGCTCGCCCGCCGTCTGCTCCTCTGGAGTCATCCGCGGCTGAAATCGCTGCACGCCATTCATATTCAGGCAAGCTCAACCGTGCAGCCGATGCGCTCTCACGGCAGCCTTGCGTCCTGGAGAATGGAGACTCCACCCCGAGTCTGTTCAGCTGATATGGGCGCGATTCGGGGAAGCCCAGATCGATCTGTTGCTTCCCCCGAGATCGCTCATTGCCAGTTGTTCTTTCCCTGACCGAGTGCTCTCGGCACGGATGCACTGACTTACAGCTGGCCTCGGGGCACGCGCAATACGCGTTTCCCCCAGTGAGCCTGCTCGCGCAGTTACTGTGCAAGGTCAGGGAGGACGAGGAACAGTTTGCTGGTTGCGCCCCTCTGGCTCAACCGGACCTGGATGTCAGCGCTCTCCCTCGCGATAGCCCTCCCCTGGCAGTCCCTTCGAGAGAGCACCTACTCTCTCAGGGACAGGGCACCACCTGGCACCCTCGCCGATCTTTGAAGAGATTTTTAGACGCGAGGAAGACTTAGGTAACCTCCGATTGCGGTGGCTAATACCGTCACTCGGGCTAGAGCCCCCTCCCCGAGCGCGCCTATGCCCTGACGTGAAGTCTATTCACTGAATGGTGTGTCTCTCGCTGAGAAGACCCCCGTAATTTGCCAGATCAGCGTTGTGCTTTCTTTACGCCGAGAGAAGTTGGAGAGCAGGCTGTCGCCCTCCACACTCAAGGTTACGTGGCTGCCATCTCCGCTCTTATAACGCGGTGGCTGGCAGCACCGTGGGAACGCATAACCTCATCATCCGGTTCCTCAGGGGCGTTAAGCGAATTAATCCACCCCGCCCCCTCTCATGCCCTCTTAGGATCTCGCCCTCGCTACACAAGCCGCGTCAGATCCCTTCGATCCTCGGCTCAGTATTTTTCTGTCCCTGAAGACAGCTCTGCTGGTCGCGTTGATATCGATTAGAGGGTCGGGGACCCGGAGGCATTTTTCGGTCAGTGACTCGTGCCTGTAATTGGGCTGGCTTCTCTCACGTCCTGAGACCCCGCCCGCGATATGTGCCCAAGGTTCCTACCACTCCGTTTTAATACGAGGTAGTGAGCCTGCAAGCGCTGCCCTCGGAGGAGGCAGACCCAGCCCTTCTTATTGTCCAGTTCGCGTTTTGCGTATTATCCGGACCGCACTCAGAGTTTAGATCATCTGAGCAGCTCTTCGTCTGTTATAGCGGTCGGCAGCAGGGAAGTGCCGTACCGAAATAAGTTCCCACTAGATTGTGGATGCCTTTCTTCACTATCAGAGCCGAGATGAGCCGCGTTCCCCGAGAGCGCGTGCGCACTCCACTCGGAGCTTCGCATCCTCTCGAGCGCGCGCACGCGGCGCCCCTCTAACAGACATCTGTAGAGCTGCGGGCTGGGTAACACCCAACACATTTGCAAGGTTTTACAATCTGCGAGTGGAGCCGGTTTCCTCAAGGGTATTAGGTAACCCTTGGTGATTGAGGAAACAATTCGGTAGGGTGTTGAAACACGCTTGCTGCGCCATTTTCCCTAACACGGAGATACGTGCGCCTTTTTATCTGTCAGTAAAGTTCCCCGTCAGGTGAGCCCTGCAGATTCCTCCGTGGCCCCCAGCACTGACTCAGCGGAGGAGTCACTTGCTGGCCCACTACGTTGTAGGTCTGCCCGCTGGTCAGCCCGCGTTTTGGGTAAAGGTGCCTGCTATGCGTGGTCCCCACTAGGCGATCCCATATGCTTATTCAGCCACGGTTAAGTCCCCCCCCCCTGGGCGGACCCGTGTCTTCCCTCCCCGCTAACCACTCTTTTGCTATGCGTACTCCCCCTTTTTTGGGCTAGTCCATATGTAAATTCTGCCATCTATCCCCCCTTGGGTAACGGATGGCCTCCGCAGCGTCCTCCCTATCGGGATTGCACGCTTCCCAACGTACTGTTGTATTTTCCTAGAATTATCTAGATGCTCACGACTTCCCAAAAAATATATATAAATCCGTAAAACTTCTGTTGAAGTAGGATAAATTAGGGCCAGGGACACGTTGGAGGACCGCGCCCCCCATGATGTGGGTGCGTCACGCTTGCTTGACTATCTCCTCATCGGGGGTGTTGGTAAGGTGCAGTCATTGTGGCGCTTTCAATGGGCTCCCAATGCGTGGATTTTACAATCAAATCCACTTATAGTGCTGAAGTTCCCCCCGAAGGGGAACGTTCGAGGTTACTAAAGTAACCCTTCGTTCCCCGAGGAGGGGAACGGAAGCACTATACTCCGTCGCCATAATGACTGTCCCTTAGCTGTTGAAAGTCTCTTCAGCTTAAAAAGGATAGCGTCTGCTGGCGCCAGGTGAGCTTATATACTCAGTTGATTGCTTATGCCGCTCACCTGCGCAGGCTTGCGCTGCCAATTCATTCTTAATTGGCCCGTTCAATACTCTTTCAGACGAGTAGCTTCTGAACCGAACCTCCCAATGCGTGGATTTTACAATCAAATCCACTTATAGTGCTTCCGTTCCCCTCCTCGGGGAACGAAGGGTTACTTTAGTAACCTCGAACGTTTTACTGTTATGTTATGTTTTAATGTTTTTCAGGAAGTGCATGAGACATTTTTTTTTAAAGAAGAGATTGAGTTTGTTAAGTTCTATTCCAAGTGATGACAACCGTAAATGTGGATGCTGCACATAGAAAGGAAGTAGGACTTTTATGTGATGTTAAAAGGTTACTTCCGGTGTGAGCGGGATTTGCTGTTGTTGTTGTTGTTAGTGAACGGCCTTGGTGGTCATGCAATAAAAGAGACGAGTTCTAAACTGTTGTTTTGATTTAGTAACAACATGATGCGTAGCGCGTGATCGTAATCTATACAGCTTAAATGATTTAATGCTTTGAGTTAATGTCTCTTCGCATGCTTTCGGGCGGACCCTTATTTTGCATATTAGCGGTCCAGAGACAAAGAAAATCTCCCACTCAAACTTTGCCAGGAGACCAATGGTCAGTCAGTAGTTGACATGCCACCACAGTTTAAAACCCAGCTGGGAGCACAACTCTGCGCAGAAGATCCAAAAGAAGCTTTTCAAAAGGTGCGCCCCCCATTTGAGGGGGCAAACCGCATTTCTGTAACTGCATTTTTTTCATATTTTTTCAGCAAAGTAAAACTCAGTTTAAAGTTGCGATCGTGTATCCTCTGACCTGCATTGCAAACTCCACGCATCAAGAAAGGACATCAAAGGACTCTGTACCCGAGCGCATCGGAAGAAACTCGCAAAAAGAGAGAGACAGAAAAACCCTAAACTTCACCTAAACTCTCTAATTCCTCGCTTTTCTGTTTCTTTTTGTTTTTTATATGTTCTATAGATCCATATATAGCCTATATATCTTCAGTATACGTTTGTTCTATGTTTGTGCGTTTGTTTGTTATATGTCAGACTAGTCAATAAATATTCTTATAATCACGTTGGATTGTATTGTTTGCCTCACAGAAAAAGTGACTGAAACGATTGATTCCTTGCTACAAGCTATAACAAGTTAATCAAAACTTATAAATGATTGATCTACAAGGAGTAGTAATAATTCCCTTTCTAAGTAAATAGATTATTACAGAGTCCGCTCAGGCAAGCTGGCGAGGTCAGGTTATATGTATTTGCTCAAATTAACAATAAGTTAATTCAGAATATGAATGATTAATAATAATTTGTTATTATTGATAATAAATATTCATAATCTCAGAGTGCGCTTGGACGAGGGGGGCAGAATCATAAATATATATATATATATATATATATATATATATATATATATATATATATATATATATATAACCAAATTGACAGAAGGGTGAGCCGGAATATTAATAATTAATAATAACCCGTTATTATTGATTATTAATATTCATAAATGGAGCTAATTTCGATACAACATTAATATTATACCAATGGGCAGTTTGATAAATCAATGGGCAGTTTGATAAATAATATGAATTATACGCTGTGTAATTACTGTTTTTGCATTACTGTGAGGGTTGGAGCGTTGAAATCAAGTCAACTTTATGGTAATGAGCAATGACGCGGTTCGGCGGCAAGCAATCAGAATGTAGAAATTCACCGATTGAGAAGAGTCCAGAAAACAATCTATGAACTTTGGTTCCGACCACACTTGTTTCCAAGGCTTTGATTATTACGCCAGATTTCCAATTATTTCCAATGTTTTTCTTACAGGAACATGCATTAAAAAAGTTACTGGCGAGTTTCTGATGTGCATTGATGATATATATATATTTATTTTTCTTTAAAAAAAGCGAGAATCTCATGCGACAAAACAGAACAGTATTGCTGCTTCAGGATATTTCAGACATATGGACATGTTGGAAAATTAAGTGAAGCAAAGCCACACCACAAACTTGATCTTCCATTGTTTATTGAATTTGATAAAAAGTGTGCAACATCTTCACGCTAGAAAGCATGTTTTATGTGGTAATGTAACTGATATGATATGATATGCTGCAACGGCGACCTTTGACGTTCTCACCACCTTCTTCGGTGTGAATGCACAGTTATAGGAATGAATGTGATGTTCAATATGAGAAAGGTAAGAATGACCGCTATGACCAATACAGTAGTTCCTGTGTTAAGGACATTTTGTGTTCAAATATTCATTTATTCATTCATTTCGGCTTAGTCCCTTTATTAATCTGGGGTCGCCACAGCGGAATGAACCGCCTGTACAAATATTTGATAATGCTAATTAAATTTTTTCTCTCTCTTAGTTCGTCTCTGTTCAAAGCTCCATGGACTCGAGTGATGGTGTATGGATTCAGTCATAAAGTGCAGCGTAATGGCCAGCTGAACCTGATGGGGGCCGTGTGTTTCCCGCTGGACGCCTCTCCGTCCAACACCGGCCTCACTTCTCCACCCACAGCCAACCAGTATCCTAGCATCATCATCCCCACCGACAAAGTGCACGACAAATTGGGCACGTCACATTCTCTTACATACAGTGGGGGAAAGAAGTATTGAACACGTCACCATTTTTCTCAGAAGTCATATTTCTAACGGTGCTGGAGACTTGAAATGTTCACTGCATGTCGGTAACAACTAAAGAAATCCATATATACAAAGAAAATAAAACCAATTCCTTTATTCATTAAATGATGTGCAATAAAATGAAACAACACAGGGAAAATAATCGAACACACGAAGAAATTAGGTGTAAAAAGACTTGGAAAGCCCAGACAGCAGCTGAAATCTCTCAGTAGTTCTTTAGCAACCCTCTGCCCTTCCTCAGTGTAAATGAACATCAGCTGCTTCAGTCCAACATCTACATTAACAGGAGGATAAAGATGAAACCAGGGTGGACATTTCAGCAAGACAGTGATCCAAAACACAGCCAAGGAGACTCTCAAATGATTTCAGAGAAAGAAAACCAAGCTGTAGAATGGCCCAGCCAATCACCTGAACTGAATTCAATAGAAAACACAAAATAAAGCTCAGATTTAATAGACGAGACCCACAGAAGCATCAAGATTTTGACACTCTGTTGAAGTCTATGAGAAACTCACACCTGAGCAACGCATGAGGCTTCAGTCTCCATGTGAGAGGCGTCTTTAAGCTGCAATCACCAAAAAAATCCTTTTATATAAAGTATTAAATACGTTTCAACAGTTCAGTACTTTCTCCTTGTGTTGTTTCATTGTTATTACACAAAACTCATATTTTTTGGTTTTGTTTTATGTTTATGTTTGTATTGTTTGGGTTTTTACCAAAATCTGGTTCAATTCCATGTCAGCAGCTCCTTTAGAAAAACATGACGTGTTTAATACTTATTTTCCACACTGTACATTTATTTTATTTTAACAGTGATCTGCATTATTTTGCATTCTCTAAGTGAACAATCAGATTCATTAAGACCATTCCTGCTGACTTTAGCTCATATCTATATTTCTGTCCACAGGCGTGTCTCCCCCTCCTGGAGCAGTGCTGGTGTTGCACTCGTTGCTTCTTGAGTTTCCATTGGCGATGGTTTTCACTGAACAGCTGCTAACCTACAGTGTAGGAGAAACCATAGAGCGCTCTGAGGATGAGCTGGACACGGTGCCCACTTCTGTGCTCATTCAGGTCGTGGAGCTGCCAGGTGAGTTATGCTTATTTAATTTGCTCTGAGTTTATACAACCAGGAGTGTATAAACTCAATCCTGGATGGCCGGTGTCCTGCAGAGTTTAGCTCCGACCGTAATTAGACACACCTAAACCAGTTAATTAAGCTCTAACTATTCTAGAAACTTCCTGGCAGGTGTGTTGAAGCAAGTTGGAGCTAAACTCTGCAGAAAACCAACTCTCCAGGACCGAGTTTGGGCACCCCTGCCCTAGACATTATATGTTGCATTCAACACATTGCTGTTTTGTTTATTTCTACAGTTTGTTTTCCTTTTTATTAAGTCTTGAAGTGTCTTAAATGTGCTTTTATAGTGTTGTCACGATACTGGAATTCGGTACCAATCCATACTGAAGTTTTAAAAACAACCAAGGCTCATTCTGAAAGCGTAGTGCCATGGACGTTTCTGTAAACTGCGAAATGCGTCCCGGGAGGTACTTATTATTGCATTTTTTGTTTTCGCAAATCCACAAAAGGCCTCTGTGTACGCTTTTTCAGATCTCAAATTTCTCGAGGAAGTTCTCCCTCTAGTGCCGTTTGCGCCCACTGTACACGCTTAAACCCACCGGAGGCCACTGTTGACCGACCCACCCTCCTTTTTCCCTAAACCCGACCAATTTTTTGATTAAACCGCCCACTTACTTACTTTCCTAAATCCAACCAATAATTTTCAAAAGCCGTCCAGAAAAAGAAAAGCCCTCGTCGGATTTTTACCATGTTTTTGGATTTTACCACATTCTCACCCTGTTATTCACTCATTCATTTTATTTTTTGGATTCTGTTTTTGTCTTACCTGATTTCTGGAACCGCTCCACCCTGGACTCGAATCCCGCCATCGTCGTCTGGCGTCTCAAGTCTGTTGACGTACACGACGAGCTAACTGGACAAACTGGTTGCGGTGGGAAAGCCCTCCACAGTTAGCGTTCGTTTAAAAAAAATTTAATGCAGCCATACCATACGTACCTCCGGCTACATAATTCGCGGTCTCCAGAAACGTCCATGGGACTATGTTTTCAGAATGAGCCTGTGATTCTGTTTAAAAACGTCCATTTCACGCTAACATTTGAGCGCCATTGAGCGCTTTCTTAAACAGCGCTGATTTGCCATTGTGTTCACATGCTCAACAGAAATGACTGCAATTGGCCGTGAAGGTCATCAGTTTACCGAACTCACCGCTGTTTACTGAGTGTAACCACATATACTGGGACACTGTGTTTTAAAGTCACATCCATCAGCTGATTTGTCTATAAGCTGACATATGAGTGATCCGCTGATGAATCACGGCTTTAAAATGCTTTAGTGTAACACAGATAACATATACAGTTATTTTAAACACTTTCTATGGTGCTTTATGAAAATTCAAAGGGTTTTCTTTAAAATGATACCAAATTTTTGCATTTACACCTCTGCGTGTGGATTTTGGAAGCTTTTAAATTTGGGTCGGCAAAATCCAGGTGGAAATCTCAAAATAGCACTGGGGTTTAAGAGGTTAAGGAAATCTTATTGCTAAGTGTGACCGATTAAATATTTAAAGGTGCAGTATGTAGTTTTTATCACTATTCACAACAAACAAAGGTGTAGTTTGATGACTGTGTGACGGGTGCTTTCACACCTAGACTTTTGTTTCGAAAAATGTCTCGTTTGCCCAGTTAGCACTGTTTGTTTCGCATATGTGAATACAGCAATCACGCTCATATCCACCCCTAAACAATCGGTCTGAGATCGCCTGAATGAGGTGGTCTCGGCTTGATTTAAATGAACTCTGGAGCGGATCCATTGTAGTGAGAAAGCGATACGATCCGAGCCCGGCTATATCACAGTGTTTTATGGATATGTAATTGGCATACGGCTATATAAAGACAGAATTATGAGTAGGGCGGGAGGTCATTCCAGACATCCCAAGTCTCCCGGAAGTCTCCCGTAAATGCACAGAGGACCTTCCCAGTCCACAAATACGTTGCGCACCCTTCTCAACCCTCCCCACCGCATCCCTCCTCACTCTTTAGTTTTCATTCACGTTGCGCGCACCCTGTCAAACACCACCAAACCACCAGCCCCCCTGACAGCAGAGCAGGACTCTTCAAAATAAAATGTGAAACTCTGACCAATGTGAGGAGAGTTTTCTCACACATGACTTGTTTTAGAACCGCACCAAGAACAAAGAGCAACAATGAAGCAATTTAATCCCTGTTTTCGGAACAAATGAATCTGTTCACAGGTGTGAAAGCACCCTGAGTGTGGAATCATGGGAGTTGTGGTCTTCATTATTCTACAGGACTTATGTTGATGAGTAAAGTTATTCAACACTATTAGAATTAACCATTCAGCACAGAAAAGCAGCAGAGCTTTTATTATGCCATAGTCCTACGCTTCTGGTTCTTTATCTTGTGATCACATGGAGAAGCAGCCCTTTTTTTATCAGACTAAATACATGTTAGGCATCTGTTATAATGCTGCTATGTGCAGTTGAATAAAACACACAACATATTAAAGCCTCGCTGCTGTTTCTCTGTTTTCTAGAAAACCAAAGTAGAAATGTGTGTGATGACATTAGCATGAACACAGCACACATTAAATCTATCTCAATGTCAATATTCTACAAAAAATTAGTTTGGATAATGTATGTACATAAGACAGCAAAATATATAACACTGTCCTAGTGGTTTTTGCATATTTTAATGAAAAATCATACATATTGTGCCTTTAAGTTCATACTAGCATTCCTTATCATATAAAAATGCAACTTTTACGTAACGTAACGTAACGTCCTCGCCTGTGTGAACAGCGCTTTTTTGAATATACCGGTAAAGTCATTCCGAAAATTTTCCGGATATTTACCGTTATCACTGTGTGAAAGGGGCTGTCTCTTCGCATGCTTTCGGGCGGATCCTTATTTTGCATATTAGCGGTCCAGAGACAAAGAAAATCTCCTGCTCAAACTTTGCCAGGAGACCATTGGTCAGTCAGTAGTTGACATGCAACCAGAGTTTAAAACCCAGCTGCGCACACAACTCTGCGCAGAAGATCCAAAAGAAGCTTTTTAAAAGGTGCGCCCCCCTTTTGAGGGGGCAAACCGCATTTCTGTAACTGCATGGCTCGTCCGAGCCCACGTTTTCTTATTTTTTCAGCAAAGTAAAACTCAGTTTAAAGTTGCGATCGTGTATCCTCCGACCTGCATTGCAAACTCCACGCATCAAGAAAGGACATCAAAGGACTCCGTACCCGAGTGCATCGGAAGAAACTCGCAAAAAGAGAGAGACAGAAAAATCCTAAAACTCCAGGTATTTGGTTATGCGTTAAGCCTGTGCCCCTCATCAAAAATGTGTTTTTGTAATCTTGGTGGTCCTGAATAGTTGTGTGGAACTGAGGTAGATTTGCCATTCTTTTACCTAAACTCTCTAATTCCTCGCTTTTCTGTTTCTTTTTGCTTTTTATATGTTCTATAGATCCATATATAGCCTATATATCTTCAGTATACGTTTGTTTTATGTTTGTGCGTTTGTTTGTTATATGTCAGACTAGTCAATAAATATTCATATAATCACGTTGGATTGTATTGTTTGCCTCACAGAAAAAGTCACTGAAACGATTGATTCCTTGCTACAAGCTGTATTAAGTTAATCAAAACTTATAAATGATTGATCTACTTCACAAGGAGTAGTAATAATTCCTTTTCTAAATAAATAGATCATTACAGGGTCCGCTTGAGCAAGCGGGCGAGGTCTGGTTATATTAACAATACGTTAATTCAGAATATAAATGATTAATAATAATTTGCTATTATTGATAATAAATATTCATAATCTGAGAGTCCGCTTGGACGAGGGGGCAGAATCATGAATATATATATATATATATATATATATAACCGAATTGACAGAAGGGTGAGGCGGAATATAAATATTTTATAAAAACCCGTTATTGTTGATTATTAATATTCATAAACTGAGTTAATTTCGCTACAACATTAATATTATACCATCAATGGGCAGTTTGATAAATAATATGAATTATACGCTGTGTAATTACTGTTTTTGCATTACTGTGAGGGTTGGAGCGTTGAAATCAAGTCAACTTTATGGTAATGAGCAATGACGCGGTTCGGCGGCAAGCAATCAGAATGTAGAAATTCACCGATTGAGAAAAGTCCAGAAAACAATCTATGAACTTTGGTTCCGACCACACTTGTTCCCAAGGCTTTGATTATTACACCAGATTTCCAATTATTTCCAATGTTTTTCTTACAGGTACATACATTAAAAAAGTTACTGGCGAGTTTCTGATGTGCATGTATGATATATATATATATCAGAGCCGGCCCAAGGCATAAGCGAACTAAGCGGCTGCTTAGGGCCCCGTGGCCACCAGGGGGCCCCCAAGAGTGCTTGAAATTATTGTGGGACTTTTGTTTTAGTTTGTTAAGTTGTGCATTTGTGGTGGGACAAAATATATGCCCATTTATAGTGTTATTTCTGACCACGATACATACTCGGGCGCCAAGATATTTACCTAAATTTACAAAAGATCTGATTTAATTAATCAGTTCCCTTTCGGGAACTCTACGCTGCATCTCTTTAGGAGACACAATGGGATACAATCCCTCTCTTATAACCTCCTGAAGCACAGGTGAAATCAATCCAATTTAATTGGCGGGACCGTGTGTGTGTGTGACGTCAGACCGGGAGGTATAAAAGCACCACGGAAGCATACAACTTCAGCTTTTTCTCTCTTCACTCAGACGCATGAGTCTTTTTCCTCCTACTTACAAGCACTGAAAACACACTACATTTAAACAATGACTCACTCGCGCACACACGCTCTCTTTTTGCATCACTATTAAAAATAATAGGCTATTAGAGAAATATAATTCAAGTCCTGCGGTGTCCTTGTGTAATCATAGATCAGGACACGCACGATTTATGTGTGTGCGCAGGGCCTTTGACCAGGAGCAAGTACAATCAGTCCTCGAGAGGGGTGTTTGTACTCATTTTAAAAAACCCTGGTCGAGTGCTGTGAAAGAAATGAAGGCTCTAGAAATGGAAATGAAGTAGACTCCCTTCATAAAACCGTCATAAAACAGGTCCTCCTCCAGACATGGAGTCGGGGTTTTTATAGTATTACTTCATTGTTCCAAAGAAGGATGGACATTATATCCTATATATATATATATATATATATATATATATATATATATATATATATATATATATATATATATATATATATATATATATATATATATATATATATATATTAAGATGACTAGATCGGTCTGATCAAACGCTGAAGTTCAAAACAATGACTATCAGCACCATAGTGTCACAAATACAGTCTGAGGGCTGGTTTGTCACATATCCATCCTTTAAAGTCACAGAAAGTTCCTGAGTTTCGCCTTTAGGGGCAAGGCGTACAGGGTTCTTTCATTTGGTCTGGCATTCTCACTCCACACGTTCACCAACGTAGTTAACGTACCATTGGTTTCACTTTGGCTACAAAGGACTTGTATTCTCTATTTTCTCGACGGCTGGCTAATTTAATTCCAGTTTAGGGAGTTAGCAAT